ATTAACAATTAGGAACATCCCAAGACAAATCTTAGAGAAAATGAGCAGCATAAGCTGCTTTTTTCTTGGGTGTATAATAGTAACAGTATTGTAGACCATGTACAAAACAGTCATTCAGCTCCATCTAGTGGGTCTACATCGTATCATAAGAAGTTCTTTTTTCCAGTATGTAGTGAGCATGTGAAGATTCCAGGTAAAATAGTTTAGGTCCACTCATCATAACAGATCGTATTAAAGCAGATCTCCAGGATTTTCAGAAATTAACCCTTGTAATGTGCTACCCCTACACTGCAAGGGCTAACTGCTCATTTTGGCCTAGGGAATGGCCCAAACTCACCCGATCCTCAATCCAGCATTGGTGGCAGTTTAGGTGGAGTTATTTGAATGGGCTGCCTTAATATGGTGTTAAGCTCTTCAACACACCACAACGGTGTTGACCCAGCCTTAAGAGTTTTGTCAACTGTAAAGGAGATTGTACAATGAGACTGTAAGTCCCTGTTCACACCGCCGGCATTTGTAGCTTGTATTTGTCAGCACAGAAAAGCTCCGCAGAAGCCTGTAAGTATGTACCTCTTTTTGGGGAGATCAGCGCGACGTGACCTTTTCCTATTACTAATCGCATTGATCTGCCCCAAAAAAGAAGCTTGTGTACGTTTTTCCAGCGATCGGCTTTTTTCTCATTGCGATGCTATGCTCCCACATGAACGGGGACTATAGAAATCAAAAGGATTTCTTGTGCTGAGCTTTTCCGTGCTGACAAATACGAGCCACAAACGCCATAGTGTGACAGGCACTTACAATATGAAAGTGTGACAGACTATTTACACAAAAAGTACTTGGTCTTACTTTGCATCACTTTTCCCATTACCGAACTGTCCGTATTTATTTACTGGATGTCACAAGCACAACACCATAATGAAATATGGAGCAAGTGAGAACTACTTGAATTTGGCGCAGGAGTCAGTAGAGGTTCTGAAAATGGTGCATCGTGTTTTAGAATTTGGCGCAAACATTTCTTAGGCTGAATTAGCGTCAGCATTCTGGCACGAATACAAATTAAATTCCCCTGACAGTGCAGTGAGGTGGTTGCCACCCCAAGACAGGACATGTGTTACTGGCAGAATCACCAGGTCAGAATAAAGAAACCAGAAAACAAATGCAGTCACCACACTTAAAGAGTGACGAGCCACAATATATTGCATTTTGGGATTAGATACGCTTTAGTTTCTAAAGTTGGTAGGTATGCAAGCATAGCTGCTTAAACGTAAGTGTCTATTTATAAACAAAAATGTACATAGCTATTTGTCCAGCGAAACTGCATGTATATTTCTTGGTGTGAGTTACCCAGCTGTTGTGAGAATGGGAAAAAATTTAATGTTCTTACTGTAAATATTAGGGATGCACCGATATATCGGCCGCCGAAACATAGTCCGAAAATTGCACTTTTGGCATAATGCCGAAAGTGCCATTTTCTGGCCGATACAGCGGTGCATCCGTTCTTTCTCTCCTCCCCGCAGGGCGCTGCTCTGTGTCCCAGTGAGGAGGAGAGAAAATGTCACAGGCGGCCAAGCGCTGCGGGAGGAGAGCGCTGTGAGAGGTCTGCATCTTTCCTCCCACACCGCTCAGCCTCCTGTGACAGATCAGAGGAGAGCAGTGTGGGCAGAGACAGCCAGCGCTGTCACAGCAGGCTGAGCTCCGCTCGGTCAGCCTCCTGTGACAGCGTTTCAGGAAGGAGAGCGAGGTACAAACACTCAGCGATCAGTGATCGCTGAGTGTTTGTAAATAATTGAGGACAGAGCATGTTGACTATATCCTCAATTATGAATGAATGGGAAGTGACCTACATCACCTCCTGTTCATTCATGATTGTGATTGTAGTAAACACACAATGTCCTCATGTTATGAATGAACAGGATTCCTGTTCATTGATAACAGGGGCTGCAGAAAAATAGATTGAAGACTCTGTGTTCTCAATGACTTTTTCTATTTGAAAAGGGAAAAATCAGGGGTCTGTTTAGACCAGTGCTTCTTAAAGTGTGGGTCGCGACCCCATATGGGGTCCCGCAAGTGAACAGGGGGGTCGCAATCCGAGTAACCGGCCAGGACCGCCATCAGGAGGGTATGGCCAACACTTGTGTGAGGGGCCCAGGCAGCCGAGGTCTGGGCACCAAGCTAGATTGCTTTATTTCAATTTAATGTAAAATCAGTGTAGTTTTTAAGGTCGCAGCCCGCCCCTGTGCACTTGGTACCTCCCTGGGCACATGTGCGCAGGAAGGTTTTTTTAATTTTTTTTTTTTTTTTACATTGACTGAACTTTCTTTAACCCAGCAGCAGTGGAGCACAGCTGCTGGACGTAAAGTGTTTTGAAATTTTCATTTCGGTGCACCTCTAGTAAATATTCTTCTGGTTGATTGTTCTTTGATAGGTATAGTCATAAACAACAAGTGAATGGGGGAAATACCACATTATGGTCACTAGATGGAGCTGAAGATCACAGAAATGGCACTATTACTATAGAGAACACTGAAGAGGATAAGCATATAAATCAGAGGTGGGCAATTCATTTTCTCAAGGGGCCACATGAGAAACTGGGATGGCTGCAGTGGGCCAAACCGATTAATGGCACAATGCAATGCACCTAACGTGCATTACAGTGTGACAGGTGTGCTGCATTGCCCTTCATTTGAATGGCAACCCAAACGCACCTCCTGGTTGCGATGAGATCGACTTCACCTACTGTGCACTGTGGTGCGGTTGAAAAAATAGTGCTGCGATGACCTGCTGCACTGCAACGCACTTAATCGCATGGCACGACATAGGTTTGAATTGGCCCTGAATGAAGCATTTTTGTCCCCACATAATATAATAATTACTATGTGGCACATGCCATTTTCATTAGTTTATTTTTATCACAGGCCACGGGCGTCCAGCAGTCCTAGCAACCAATGACTGCAGAGGAGGACCCCTGATGTCATTTGTTGCTAGGGCACCAGAGGTCCTAGCAGCCAAGGACTAAAGAGAAACGTGGTCTGGACACAGGTCAATCACCGACGTGTGATGGGCTATGGCTTGCACCGGCCTTGGAGGTCAGCGCATCCTCTGTCAGCCAGCCATAACAGAGTGCAGGTCAGCGGGCCAGACAGCCACAGATCAAGGGCTGGATATGGATATCAAAATGCCCAGGTCTGATATAAATATAACCATTACTATGGTATCACATTTATATGTTCATTCCCTCCAGGAGTCTCTTGAATTGTAACACTGTTACTAACATGTGTTTATGGCCCAGTTGCCTAGTCACTTACCCCTAAATGTTCTGCTGTGTACCCAGCCTTTTCACCGCCTGAGGCTGCACAGGGGTGGGGGAGGTGGGAAGAAAATTTGACATAGATTTGTATAACGAGTTCTTTGGATGTGAACTTGAGGTCAATAAGTGAAGATTTTTCTGTCTTGACATTTCAGTTGTTGTGGCCTAAACATTTACATTTTGTCTTGAATTTCCCTTGAAAAATATCAGTGTATTTCCTGATATGTGAGTGTATTTGGCCCATATATATTAACTGTGTGAAAGGTACTACGGTCTGTGACTGCTAGTTTCAGCAGATATAAACGTAGACATGGTGATGTCAGTGTTGATGGCTGGAGAGAAAGCTGCACCGCATACATCTCCCTGATTCCTCCATTCCGTGGATCTGTGCTCCTGTAACTCTTGTTTCTTAAGTTTATCCTCACCAATTCTTAGGGAGACAGTTCTGACATGAGGAAACAAAGCTCTTCCTCTACCAAGATGGCTACCTCCACACACACAAACAGTGCAGAACTAGGCATGGTAAGTCAGTAATAGGGAAAGATCAGCTGCAGGGAGAATGCAGATTTTTTTTCATTCTGCTTGTGCACCTTTTTCTTCCACACTTTTCCCTTCCACATAATTTTCTATTAATGTGCTTTGATACAGCACTTTGGGAACATCCAACTTCTTTTGCAATTACCTTTTGAGGCTTTCCCTCCTTATGGAGGGTGTTAATGATGGTTTTCTGCACAACTGTCAAGTCAGCAGTCTTTCCCATGATTGTGATTCCTACTGAACCAGACTGAGAGACCATTTAAAGGCTCAGGAACCCTTTGCAGGTGTTATGGCTTAATTAGCTGATTAGAGTGGGACACTTTGAGCCTAGAATATTGCACCTTTTCACAATATTCTAATTTTCTGAGATTGTGGATTTGGGGTTTTCATGAGCTGCAAGCCATAATCATCACAATTATGACAAATCACGGCTTTCACCTGTATACTTTCATGTTACCACAATGCAGATTTGTGATGGGGAGGTAGATGAGCAAGTTCTACATCCTGGGTTATGTTCGGATACTCATTAGAACAAAAAAAATGCTTAGACAAGTATCTAAGGACGGGGTTGGCTCTGGTCGGCGTCCTGCCCAGCTCTTGGCAACCAGTGGCACCACTGATTGCTAGATGCTGGGCAGGACGCTGGCCAGAGCATCCTGGGTTAATAGGAGCTGGGTAGGGAGATGTGTATGACCTTACACATCTCCCCGCCTGGCTCTTTGCAACCTGGGACCCTGCTGGAAGGGGGGTGGCAGGCACACTGCAAACATTGTGCATATGTGACCCAAAGAGGCAAAAGCCTCAAGCCGCCTCATTATAGCGACGGCCACTGGTTTATGACATGTTTAGAGTAATGTAACTTCTTGCTGGTAAATAGTTTTGTACATCAGACAAAAAAGAGGGACAATTGAGGATGAAAGATGGACAGACGGATTTGGTGCTGAATGAGGGCCAGTTGGGAGAGATGGGTAAGTAGCACATTTGAAGGGGTTGAGGAATGGCAGCCTCGATAGTGTAAGAGAGTGGCAGCAAATAAGCAGAATGGGACAGCCATGCGCCTGAGCGTTGTACATACTGGATATAGAGATAGGAGGAGAGAGTAAAGTGAAAGCGCTGGAGTCTGCAGTCACGGGAAACACCGGACTGATAGACGTACACGTGACCCGACAGCAGCTTCCGCCTCTCCCTACTTCCGGGTTGTTGTTGTGTGAGCGGTGGAGGAAGTTGCTGTGTGACACTGGAAGGAGGTAATGGAAGAGGGGTGAGGGCATATATCAGGGGTGAAGCGGTCTGTCTCCCGGCTGTCCCTGGTGCGAAGGGTTATCCCGCTATGTGCCGCTCTTCTCACACACAGGTCCAGCTTATTGTTCTTGTCTTTCATTGGTATTTGTGGGTTAGAAGAATGGTCATTTTATTTTACAAGTTTATGTTTAGTGCTGCCCTCAGACTGCACTGTGCATGAAGAGGACAGCGACACTGATTCAGCTGCACAGCGTCCCTACCGATGACTTTGTAAGTGATTTATAGAGAAAAGGGGAACAAGAAGTGTAATGTACCCCCTTCTTCCCTTACACCTTGCGTACTCATTTCAACCTTACTCCTTACAATTGGTGTAAAGTTAAGGGGCGAGGACAGAAGAGGGTACAAGAGGTATAGATAGTGGTATCACTGTTGTAATGTATGGGGTATGGCAGATGTATTATAAGGGGTACAGTAGATGTAAGGGGGTACGACCGATGTAATGCAAGGGAGGGAAGGGGTACGACCGGTGTAATTTGAGGGAGGGAAGGGGTATGACCGGCGTAATGCGAGGGAGGGAACGGGTACGACCGGCGCAATGCGAGGGAGGGAAGGGGTACGACCGGCGCAATGCGAGGGAGGGAAGGGGTACGACCGGCGCAATGCGAGGGAGGGAAGGGGTACGACCGGCGCAATGCGAGGGAGGGAAGGGGTACGACCGGCGCAATGCGAGGGAGGGAAGGGGTACGACCGGCGCAATGCGAGGGAGGGAAGGGGTACGACCGGCGCAATGCGAGGGAGGGAAGGGGTACGACCGGCGCAATGCGAGGGAGGGAAGGGGTACGACCGGCGTAATGCGAGGGAGGGAAGGGGTACGACCGGCGTAATGCGAGGGAGGGAAGGGGTACGACCGGCGTAATGCGAGGGAGGGAAGGGGTACGACCGGCGTAATGCGAGGGAGGGAAGGGGTACGACCGGCGTAATGCGAGGGAGGGAAGGGGTACGACCGGCGTAATGCGAGGGAGGGAAGGGGTACGACCGGCGTAATGCGAGGGAGGGAAGGGGTACGACCGGCGTAATGCGAGGGAGGGAAGGGGTACGACCGGCGTAATGCGAGGGAGGGAACGGGTACGACCGGCGTAATGCGAGGGAGGGAAGGGGTACGACCGGCGTAATGCGAGGGAGGGAAGGGGTACGACCGGCGTAATGCGAGGGAGGGAAGGGGTACGACCGGCGTAATGCGAGGGAGGGAAGGGGTACGACCGGCGTAATGCGAGGGAGGGAAGGGGTACGACCGGCGTAATGCGAGGGAGGGAAGGGGTACGACCGGCGTAATGCGAGGGAGGGAAGGGGTACGACCGGCGTAATGCGAGGGAGGGAACGGGTACGACCGGCGTAATGCGAGGGAGGGAAGGGGTACGACCGGCGTAATGCGAGGGAGGGAAGGGGTACGACCGGCGTAATGCGAGGGAGGGAAGGGGTACGACCGGCGTAATGCGAGGGAGGGAAGGGGTACGACCGGCGTAATGCGAGGGAGGGAAGGGGTACGACCGGCGGAAGGGGGGAAGGGACACCGGAGCTGTTATGTAGGGTGGGAGGTGGAGACACAGGAAGTGTAACAAGAAAATATTACGTAGATTTGTATAACTAGTTCTTTGGATGTGTGGAGAAATGTAAAGGATCTTTGTGTGCATTGATGTGCTTATAATGATTTGGCTGTCTTAATGCTGAAGTGAACTTGAGCTCAATAAGTGAAGATTTTTCTGTCTTGACATTTCAGTTGTAGTGCCCTAAAAATTTACCTTTTTTTTGTCTTGAATTTCCCTTGAAAAATATCAATGCATTTCCTGGTATGTGAGTGTATTTGGCCCATAGCTATATATTATATATATAGACGTGTTGATGGCTGGAGAGAAAACTGCACCGCATACATCTCCCCGATTCCTCCATTCCGTGGATCTGTGCTCCTGTATCTCTTGTTTCTTAAGTTTATCCTCACCAATTCTTAGGGGGACAGTTCTGACATGAGGAAACAAAGCTCTTCCTCTACCAAGATGGCTACCTCCACACACACAAACAGTGCAGAACTAGGCATGGTAAGTCAGTAATAGGGAAAGATCAGCTGCGGGGATAACGCAGGCAATACTGGTAACCAATCCTTTGCCTTCTACCTTCCTTTATTGGCACAGCTTCCAGAGCTCAGGTTCTTGTTGAGTGAGCTCTCCACACACCACAATGCACAAATTCGCAGTTGTGCTTTGTGGTGTGCTATAGCACAGGTAAATTTGTTTTTTTTTACTATATATCTGCATTGGAGTGCCATTCACAATGAATGACATATATATATATATATATATATATATA